TTGTTTCACTCACACAGCTTCAAAAATCTGTTGTGCTACTTCTGCCCAGCAAGAAAACCAAATCTTGGTCTTTCTATCTGCTTCTGCTTCAAGTGTTATGGCCCCGTACCCAGAAAACTTGCATATGGTTTTAGAAAGGCATTTGATCTTCTCATCAAAGAAATAGGTAGAAAAGTGTTTTCTGAAACCGTTTTCTGTATCCTCAATATATCACATATTTTGCCTTCTAAAAACAATATCAAAAGATTTCCACCAATAGGTATTTGCTTGATGGGAAGGTAGGTGTAGTTGCTTCGGCCCCCGTGGGCGATCCAAAGCTAGTAACAAAAAAAGATGCTAGAGAGAGAGGCTCCAGATAGCTAGATTCAAAGTTACAATAGTTTTATTAATTGCTAATATTCTGTTTGCTGAGTCCATGGGTCCCTCTTTTACAAACCATATCTGTGAAATATTTTTCCTTTATGTTATTTTTAACACATATATGCAGTTTGGATGCACTTGTAACCTTCATTGACGCAGCTAATCATCATTCAGCTAACAATACTTAGAAGCACATGTGTACTGCCCCCTGGATCGACAGATGTATGCTTAAGTTGCTTATATCTTACTAATACTCGAATCTCATGACAGGATCATGATGGTCTCTTCTCGAGTCTGCAGCCAACAGTCCATTCAGAGCTTGTATATTTTCAAAAAGAACTTCTGAAATTACAGGTTTGACTATGTTATGCTGTTTTTATTTCATTTTTATTCCTCTTTATTAAAAAAATGAGGATTCATTGTGTTTAATTAATTCTTACTAAGATGGTGAGATCTTTCTGCATTTTGCTGAAGTTTTTTGTTGGATTCATGGTGATATAGTTGGAGTATCCTCTTGTCTAACCATATATGGCAGCCTGTAATTGTACACTGTTACTATATGTTCATTATATTTTCATAATAGGAAAAGAACGCTTTAGTAAAGATATGCCACTTGATGGGACTGAATTCTAAGCTATAACTTTGTCTGATTCCATGACTACTGCTCCCTCAATCATTTATTTTGAATAGAAAGGTTGGTAGCTATGAGCTCATTTAACTTAAAAGTAGCTCAAGTGATTAATGCTAATGATATATTTGATGAACTATCTTAAAACCTTTTAGTTCTTTGAATGCTCATTGAGTTATAGCATGAAGTGGTAATAACTATATTTCAAGAGCTTGTTCTGCAGGTCATTGAGGATAATTGCAAATATTGGGAAGTATTATCATCAACACTGGCAGTTGGTTGGCTGGACATTTCAGTGAGTAGCTTCGTGGCTCTCTTAGTTCTGATCATTCAATGGTTCTCTATGTTTTACAGTGATGAGCAACATGATAAGAAGATATTTTCTATTTTCAATTACAGGTTAAGATGTTGCGTTTGCATGGATCTTATCAATTGGATCAGCTTGGAA